GCAGAAAGCAGAGCAGATTTTAAAATAAGCGCCGGCAGATTTTGAAAATTTTCGCCGCCGGAGATCATCGTCCCTGGTCATGTGGTACATGAATCTATATTTAGTAAGGCAAAGATTAATGATAAGAAACGCGTAATTATGTCTGTTATTATGTTTATTACACGTTAACTCCCTTAACTCTTGCTAAATTAGTTTCTCTTTTGTATTCTCTTTTGTAGAAAGCGATCAAAATAATCTAGTCTTGCCTGACGGTTGACAGATAGTACTTTGATAATACAAGTTTCCTGATCTAAGTCAAAAGAAATACATTGGTATTTCCGTAGACTAGAATACTGAGAAGCCGAGAAACACTTAGTGTTTTGGTAGGTGGAAAGAACCCGAGGAATCGAGAAACACTTCTCTTGTGTTTTGGTAGATGAACGGGGCCAGGGGCCGAGAAGCCGAGAAATACTTTTGAATTTCTAGGTGGAAAAGAACCCCAAAAAACCGAGAAACACTTCTTGTGTTTTGGTAGGTGGATGAATGGGGCCGGTTGACCAAGAAACCGAAAAAGCATGTGTATCACGTGCTTCGTAGGTGGTGATAATCCGAAAAACATATTTTGAAACCGAAAAAATATGTTCGTAGGTGTATGGTTGTGAGGAACTTGTATTATCAAGCGAATTTGCTATTATTTTGTTTGCAAGCTTGTTATAATTATTCACTCTTCGTCCATAAAGGCCAGTATTATTGATGGAATTTGTGTGATTATATGTGTAATCAGTCATGCTAACTATAAACGTTTCCGCAATTACTTCGATCCTTGGACTAGGTTTTATACTGCCATTCATATTGCAGAAGATGATACGAAGAAGGAATTCATTGAGCCAGAATTACCATCACAGCATCAAATTGGTATTGGTTTCGTTCAGGTTAATAATATTATTTTGTTAGTTATGGTACCGTTTGTGTCTCAGTTTTAAGCTTTCAACTAACGGATTTTGTTTCATTTCACAGAATGTTATGTAGTGTATGAGAAGCAGGTGATACATTTAATGACTTTGATTATCTTCTATATTATTCCACTGAAGGTATATCATGTACGAGTGATATTGAGCACTATGTCAGTTTAACTTAGGCCCCCGCTAAAGAAGAAGATATAGCTGAAATATGTGAACATTGAAAAGGAGGCATCAATTAAAAAGCAACGGGTTCAAGGATATTTCGAAAAACAGGAGTAGCTCAAAGTGTACTCTAGAATAATTGTATATATTAACATAGAAAAAATTCATCTATCCCGGGCAAAGTCCCAAATCATGTATTTATTTTATCTTGTATAATAAAGCGTTTTACATTTACCACATAACATTGAATAATTCCTTCGTGTATAAAATTACCATCAATCATGGTAGTTAGTGAAGCTAACCCATCCGAGCATGAAGTATTGAGACAGCGCATCACTGAGCTTGATGCTGAGAATGCAAAGACTAAGACCGAGAAAGCTGATATTGAGGGTATGTATATTGAGCTTCTAGAGCAGATTAGGGAGGAGTATATCAAGCGTGATGCTGAAAAAGCCGAGTTTAAGGCCAGAATCGAGGAGCTAGAGAAAAATAAGACAGATACTGTTGCCAAGAACGCTGAACTTAGAACTAGAATTGGGAAATTGGAACAAGATATAGATGAACTTAAAAAAGAATTAGAATCAAGAAAAATCGTAAATTTCAGGAGAAATGTATTCTAATTGCTCAAGTATTGATTGGAGAGGAACCCATAGTTGAATATCGTCCATCTTTTATGAGGGGATTAGAACTTGATGCTTTTTTATGACATCATCAAATGGCATTAGAAGTGCAAGGGGCACAACATCGGCTTCATAATACTAACTGGTATAAAGATGTCGAAAAAAACTCGAGGATATTGTTAATCGTGATCGGAAAAAAAGAACCCTATGTCAGCTTAATGGAATTTATCTTCTTGAAACATGGTATGATGAGAATCCGGAAATCACTATTCCTCAGAAGATATATAAATTTAAAGTGTATTGATCGAAAAGACTTTAATCTTGATTAATCTTTACGTGGCTTATACAACGACTTAACATCATGTGGCTAGTGCCTGAATTTGCAATTGCATGTGACTTATATGATAAAACTCAGCATTTGCTGAAATGCGCAGTACTATATTGGAAAAATTCTTGCCGAAGAATAGGGGCCTGTGCGACGTGCGAAGCGCATATATATTCACATTATTTTTTTCTAACAAAAACCGAACAGTAAATCATTTCTTCCAAAGCTTTACAATAGGACCAGCATACTCACGACATATCGCAGTGTGAAGAAGTGCCGGCGAAAAAAAAAAAATACTGGAGACGAAACTTCCGGACAAGACATTGTGCAACTAAGGTGGGAATCCTTATTTCGCTCGGTTGTGGAGTACATTTACAAGCAAGCGTTTTCAGAGCTGTAAACTAATACCTAGCTAATATCTTTTCATTCCAGGGTTTGGAGGATCTCTTTAGCATCATGAAGGCATAAATGAAATGGAATAATGTTGGGATAGGGTGGATGTTGAGAAGTAGCCGGCGATGAAGAAACAGCGGGTTTAAGGGTATAATCATGTATTTTAGTCTGCAGTCAAAGAATAGAGTGTCATCATATACCCTGGGCTAGTCCCGCATCATGTAATTGATTTTTAGCGGTCCCTTTAGGACCAGGCTCAATGTATTGCAAATAAAAAACCGTTTAGGGTACTAAGTTACCCGAGCAATATAGTCAATTTTTTTTTTCTCGTGTGGGAGTGATTGGTGTAATTCCTCTGGAATCTACATACTAATTTTTTATTGCTCGAGAGTATGCATGTTAATACAGGGTAATCTGGTTCTGCAAATTATTGGATAATATGATTTCCAGCGAAGATCCAGGGACTTTCATGTTTTGCGACGATCAACTACGGTAGGGTCTTAATTATAAAAACTGGATGTATTGGAGGAGAACAGTTTCTAATAAGAAAAAAACAATCAAACCAAATAACTTTCGCGCATTTACAATCGAAACAAAATTCTGCGCATACTCTCAAAAACTAACAATCTCACTTGAACCAATTTCTCATCTATCTCCGCAAAATGCTTTCAAACTCTGATATGTTTTTGATCGTACTCTTTAGCATCGTAATTATAATCTATGAGATGCTAACCCAGGATGTCCTAACAATAGAGGCACTCCAAAGTATTTTTGCAGGGAATGTCATAATGTACATAATCTTTGCAGGGGGCATATTATTCTTACGTAAATATCTCTTTCCAACTCTGACCCCACAAATTGCCAAACTCGAAAAATCGATATTGGCTTTAAATAATGAAATACAAAAAATAAAAGGAGAGGCAGAATGGGACCGTGTATCGCAAGGTAAGAAATATTCTGCTCTTCCTGGTTGTCTTTGCATATGTCTTCAGGGTAAATAGGTACTAACTTTTTTATTATTTATCATTTAGGTTCATCTCGATTTTCTTCCGGCCGTGTATCTACCAGCCAATTTTCAGAATATCCTGATGAAATCCAAACTTTATGGGTGGAATTCACAGCCCTATTTAATCAAAGAAGAAGAAGGGAGGGACGCTCCCACACACAATTATACAATGTAATTTCTCAAGAAATTCATCTAAGCTCTGCGACTTTGGCGAGTTTCTACCGCCACCAAAAAACACCGAGGATTACTTCTTTGGATAAAATCGAAAATTGGGTTAATAGAGAAGGGATAGATTCTAGTAACAGTAGTAGCAGTAGCAATAGTGATAATGGCGATAGTTAGGGAGCCAGAGAATAGAAGCAGTCATTGTCTTTCGGGACAGGCTTTGGGTCTGACTGTATTTTCCCATGCAACTCCATAAAAATTTATTATATTTTATATATCTAGAAATACGAAAAATACTTTATTCATTGTGAAAATTTTTACAAAATAATAAAAACATATTTTAACACTAAAAGAATCTTATATCGTTTATAACTTTTACGCCTTACTTTCGAACCCATCCACGGTGGATTCTACAAGAATGTGAATATGATCAAAAATAGGATCTTCAGAGAAATAATCACTAATTTTATCCTCCAATTTCATATCCTTATACAATTTTGTCTCATAATCTATCGCACGCAAATTAAAAGCAACATCCTTAAATTTCCCTGTTAAGTGCATTCGAATTTGAGCTTGTAATGCACTGACTAGTTCATCGGCTTTAATAAAAGTCACCATTTTCTGGCACTGATCATATCCGAACAATTCGCCAGTAGGAATAACAAAGAAAGAAAGGTTTATTGATTTCTCCATTTCCTTTCTATTTTTTAGAAACATATCGTTAATATTTTATGCGCTTCGCCTAAAAACATATATCATATAATCATATCTATCTCACCCTTCGATCTTTTTTTCTTAGAACAAATATTGCTTATTTTTTCTTTATCCGCCGATAGGAGTGTCGAGATATTAGTTCGCAATAGGAACTTTTTATACAGAATAAATCAGGGGTTAGTACATTGGGAAAATACATCCTGATACATATTATTTTTCAGGTGAAGTCATACAGCCATATTATGGAAACTCCGCGATTGGCAAAGAATTAATCCAGTCTATCAGACATATGCCTATTCACAAATTTTTTTGGCAAATTTCTTGGCAAAGTGATCGGCTATCTGGAGATTTGAAATACTACTACGCTTCATACTTCATGCTGATTTTTTCTTGGCGAAAAGGATTTGCGGAGTCAATGAGAGTTGGGTCATATGACTTCAATCGTAGGTTTCATGGCTATCCAATTCACATGCCATGTATTCTAGCCAAAATATCAGACATGATTATCATATAATTTTACGTAGTTCGATCAACACTCCAACCGGGTTTGTATCACAGGAATAGCTGATCATCCCATGATTTGAAAAACAACTCATCATCATAATAGCACCAGGAAACTGTTGTGGAACTGGTAGGGAGCTAGGATGATTCCTGTGATACGTTATACACCTCTGATTAATATATAATTTAGCTAATATATTATCTCGGAACTAATTTAACCGAATTATGCCATCGGAAAATCCCTTACATGCATGTGAATATGCACATAGCCGGATGTGGACCTTATATAAATGCTTGTAATCAAATAAAAAAATGAATCTGATATTTTATTATAATATACTTGATACAAACTGCTATAAGTCTTTAA